AAACAAGGGGATCCAATTCTTGCATTCTGTGAAAACGGGTAAGGTTGACTGTAACGTAATAATCTTTATCTTACAAGTTAGTTATCGTTACTTTTGCCCGAGCAACGCCGGGCCCACCTGCTAGTTTATATATATTTTACCAGTATTTAAATTACAGAAACTACATTCTTTTTTGTTTTAATTAAATACATAATAAAATTCATAAGTTGTAAACATATTAGCGAAAGTTACAACTTAATTAAAATATGGATGTTGTTTACATTTAATCAATAATCAGAATATACAAAGAGCAAATGCAAATACAGTAGAGTCTCGAAAACTTGGCACTCGATAACCCGGAAGTCCGGATAACTCGGTCACACCCTGGCAGGGCAAAAAATCCTTAGTTAATTAATTTTCATTATAGACAGCTTTATGCCTCATAAAGTATTTTTCTGAGGTCTGTCTTATCAGGTAAATTACTGTACACAGTGTATTCATTAATTTTCATTTTCATGTAGTAAAGGCTCTATGCCTTCATAAAGGACGTACTTTTCCTTCGTTTAAGGCAGTTTATTCTCTGTTGTATTCTCAAGTAAACAATATATACAAGTACAGTACAGTATTTTCTGAGGAAACACTCATACTTATATTTTTTTAATCCCATTCCCGATAACCCGGCATTTTCACAAACTCGGCCACCCTTCGGTCCACATTAGGCCGCGTTTTCGAGACTTTACTGTATTTGGGGAAAGTTCATGAATGTACGAGACAACAAAAATATAACAAGTACAGTCGACCCCGTATAACACTGTTGATAATTCCGTTTTATATGAAATTCATGTTGTACGAGTCACTTAGATTTTAAGAATACGTGTGCCGGGCTGTGAACTGCTCACGTATTTGTAAAATCTAAGTGACTCATACAACATGGAATTCATATAAAACGGAATTATCAACAGTGTTATAGGGGAGTCGACTGTATATTCAAAAATTTAATATGTTATTAGTCATAATGAGTTTTCTAAATGAATTTACTTTATAAACAGTTAATTATTTTAAAATAAAAAGCTACTAAATACAAACTGAATATTCTAATTTTTTTTTGGAAAGACGGTGTAAGTTACAGTGTAAGTAGAAGTTGCCATGTATACATACATAGCATCTTCCAGTTTTCACTGTAACATATATAACAAGAGCACAATTTTTAAACAGACAATTTATTAACAGAGATTTAAAATTTTTTCAAAATTTCTGTGGGATAACTATTGTAGAAAATGGCTTATATAGAAATTATGTTCATAAATTCTAGAAAATGTGCTAAAAATAAATACAGAGGTTATAAAAAACCTCAGTACTTATTTTGTCCCATAGTTTATGAAAACTGTAATGTGCAGTTTGGAAACATTTCTAAACATTTCTACCAATTCTAGCATCTAACGATTTCCCTTGCTGGCGTGTGATACAAAGTCGCATAAGCGCAGATTAACTTAGGGGACAGACCGTTACAATCACATGAAACTTACTTGTCGCTTATACTATAGTATTAGCTCAATCGGTCCCAGGCAAAGAGTTTCAGTGTTAAATTAGCCCCGAACTTTGCTTTTCATTGTTTTATGAATCTTTTCTTCTTTATTCAGCCTCTCCTTGTCATTTCTTAAAATGTAAATATTTGACAGTCTCTTTAATATAATTTCGAGATTTTGGGGTTTGCCATTTTTTTTATAAGACTCTTTATACTCTTATTAAAGCAGTCATATACAGGATATCTTATGAAAACCTATAATTAAGAATAAAAAAAAACTATATTGGGATTATCAAAAGAAACACCCAAGGAAAATAAGTATAATGGAAAGAAAGAGATCTGTAATACGGTACCCATCTATATCACAAGCAGTTAAATGGTATAAAGAGGATATAGTTAAGGCTTTACACTCTGAACTGTAGGAATGAGCGATGGAAAATTGAATGTATAGAAGAAAATTTGTAGATCAATGCATTAATTCCAGTGACACAGAAGAATTACCAACAACATGGAAGTATTAATGCATCGTAAAAAAGAGATTACTACATGGGAACTCTTTGATTTTTTCTAACCTTATGGACTACAGGATATTTGTTTATTTTATCTAGGTTCTTTATTTTATTTCACTTTACATTACGTTAACTGTAACACAAATATATAAAAAAATATATAAATACATTTATATACATATATAAATGTAAGCAGTCGAAAGTTCTATCGTTATTAAGTTCTATTTTGAAATGTTCGATAATCACTATTCAAAACGGTCACACATGAATATGGCCTATAAAATTGGCCGAAAACGTTTGTGTATGTTTAAAAAAGTATTCTCAGAGGTTATAAAGTGATTAGTAAATAAGTAATCACGTCTCTTTGCTGGCCGAATTTTGATTATTAAAAACAATTTGGCCTACTATGAATTCGACTAAGATATATTCCATAATGTATATTTAACAAGATTTATCTAAAGTGTAACTTAAAATAAGTTATTAATTCATATAAATAAATAAATTATTATTATTATTAGTTAGTTTATAAGTAATAAAAGTTTCTACTTACCAATGAGGTAAACTGTGAGAAAGAATAACTGTTCGAAACGAAACTGCCTACATATATTACAGCCGCCATTGTGAACATCATTTTTAATTTGGGTTCCGAAATAACGAATATCGCGGCATAAGAAATAAAACAGGTAACATACAGAAAATGCGCATATAGTATAGGCTGTAGCTGGACCCAGTTGTCGTTAATATTTTTGATTATTTCCCACAGTTCGAAATGTTTCTGGATAGTCTCTTCCAATAACTCTTGCAGGGAATTTATTCTAATGTGTAATTCTGCCATTTCTTTCGAGAGATTAACAAATCTCATAGCGATAACGTAAAGAATCATTGCAGACATCGTGATGAAAGATACTATTTGACCTCCAAAATATGATAGCCATACTGCGTGTGCCAGAGAGCATACGAATGCTTCGGTTTCTGAATCGCCGTATTTTCTAATTTCTTCGAACATGGAGATTACTGCAATTGAAATAACTAACATGAGAGTTACAAGCAACCAAAAAAGAAATGCCGGAGCATATTTATGAAGATTTTCGACAACAACTTGTTCGGCATCGTAACTGCTCTTGACCGAATGGATTGTAAGTTTCTTTCTCTTCAAGATACTAAATTGCATAGCGATGTACATAGAAGAAAACCAACACGCTACTGCCGCTTCCAGTGCATAATCATCGTACATCTTAATAACTCGTAAGCAATATAGATTAAGATTGAAAATTCGTACGGCGAAGAAGAATGCCACCGACCATAGATAAATTTCGATAAATGTTACATAAACTTTGAATGCAATGGACGAAAGAGAATTAGCATTTCTGTTTTTCTCGATGTTTATACATTGACAAGGCTCTACAAAGTCGAATCCAAATGCTTTTCCACCTTCCAAGAAAGGTCGTACAATGTAATGGCAGCAGCGTTGTCGCAAATGAGATTCCATTCTTTAATTTTTAGATATCAGATAATGTGGAACAGAAACCAGAACTGAGAATACGGTCTTAATACTCAGATAAAGTTATGCAAATTTCGAGAGAACGATTTATTCTTAGTCGATTAATTTGCTGATTAGCGTGTGATACAAGCAATGTTATCAAGTATCTCCGGCCATTTATAAATTATGCATCTTAAGACTGGCCTGACCCCCTATGGATGGTTCCGCCAGCATCGCTTTCCTTAAAGGAAATAAATATATATGTGTACTGGTAGATACCAGTAGTGGTAGAATATTAAACATACTGGAAAATTACGTATTTGTCTTTCTTAGCATTATTTGCTATTGTTATTTGCAAATAACCATAGCGTTTGCTATGTATGGAATGAACAAATATTACTATTAAATACGAAATTTATGTATGAGAATAAGTTATTCTGATGAAATACCGGATCATGGTATTTTATGACCATAATTCCTAACTGAAATTTATTTCTAGCAAACTTATTTGTTTATGTTAAATTTACAAATAACTGAGGCTTAAGAATTTAACAAGACAAATTTTATAATTTTATATTTTGAACTTTATTGTAGAATAATATTCTTTTCACATTTCTAGTAATTAACATATTATCCTGTCAAATTATTACATATAGATAGTATTAAATTCCTCGTACTGTGGTAGGCCTACTCAAATTTCTGAAGCGAGTGATTATATAAATTTATTCGCGAGTCACGCACATTAAAGAGCAATCTCTACAATCTTAAAAATTTTATTTTCGAATTCATTGTAAGTCATATCAAGGTTATTGCAAATGTCTGTAGTTGTAAAACTGAATTACGCGTACATTTTTATATAATTACTTACTATTATTTATATTAAAGTTTGGAATATTAATTTTAAACTTAAGAATCTGTGGTGTCGCCAGGATATATCAAAGAAAGGATAGTTTTATACTTCTTCTCTGAGAAACTGAGAAAAATCTGCATGCTACCACGCGACTGTCACATGAATATATCACATGAGTTATCCTGAAAACTATTCTCTTATGAAGTTATTGATGGCTGAAAAATACTTGAAATTACATTAAAAACACTGGTAAAACAAGATTGAAAAAGTGGAGCTCAGCAGAAACATCTAAATAAAGGAAACTTTTGAAAGTTGTGGCTTTAGAATAGCGGAAGCAAGTTTGACAGTAAGACTCAAACATGTGAATATAGTACACATTACACAGACTACAGCTACAGAAAGTTTTGGAGGAAGCAGTCATCATAATAATAAATCAGAAAGATAACCATAGTCATAGAAAAAAGGCTTCGAGCATTACTTTGTGTTTTAAAGTCGTTGCACTACATTAATTTGGTTGAACGTTAGAACATCTTTGAGCAGTACCAGCGAAAGGAGTTTGGGCTTGCTTCTCCTACTTCAAGATTCGATACCATATCCCCAGAGGGCTATGCACCTGAACTCTCGGCCATTTGGAATTGAGAAATCACGTAAAGAATGTCAACAATTGATTGACAATATTTCTATTCTTCGACAATAAGTAGTATTCAAAGTATTACAGTATTTATTTTTCTTTGTTAACAGGGAAAGAGAAGGCAAGCATTTGCAGAGCTCGGTTTTCAAAGAATATTAAAAGTAAGGAGAACTTCTAACAGAGAGTAAATTATCCAATTATATAAAGAGGAAAATAATCTCCGTTTTTAAGATCGCTCGCACTAGAATCCGCATAGAAATGAATGAGACTCCGCCGATTCTAAGCGCCGGTTTATTGGGAATGATGGAAGATTCGCTCTGAGGACAGGTATATAACATTAAGTCAAGTCAAGCACCATGGAAGCTACAATGTTTTTCAGTTTCAGGACAACGACGCAAGACAACGCATTGACATCGAATTCAACCCGTGGAGCACCATAAAGGTTCTGGTCACTTACTATTTGAATCTCCCAATGTAACAGGACGTGAATCACGTAGACCATATCATCCGATCAACTATGTTGCTTATAGAGCATAGCTCTATAAGCTCCAGTTGATTAAATCATTAATGTAAACATTAATGAACATGGGTCCAGGAATGGAGCTTTTAGACATGCTTTGGTTTACAGTAAATTAGTCTGTATAATTGTAATGACATATTCTGCATAGGGCTTTCTATAAATTATGGCTTTTATATGATATATGGTTGGTATAAAAGATCTCTATCTGCAGGTTAGTTTCACATTTTGCTTTAAAAAACAATTTAAGGTTGGTAACAAGGTTTTCTCTTTTTTAGAGGACACGACGACTGACATTTGGGTGTTTAAAGACCTTCGGGGTATAAATTCATGTTCTGTTTGATCTACAATTATTTATATTTATATTTTTAATGCAATCTTTACTCGTTGCTATATTTATTTTAAATTGACAAATTTTTATCAAAATTTTTACCCCAAAAACATTTGATTAAAATATTAATAACACAATAATTAGATTTTTGCCATTGATTTCAATTTAGTAAATTAATCGAATAGCAACGAATAACCAGTTTTATTCCCTGATGTTAATCTGTCAAGCAATCAGGGTCAGTTTCTGGAAATCAAAAAACTACCACAAAATGAGTGTCACCTTGACGTGGCTTTGTGGCTTAATGTGTGAAAATTTTATCAAGTTTTACACATAAGGTTTTCCACAGACTAAGTACACTCGACAGAAGTATTTCGAAACAATTTAATTTTAAAATCATACAATACAAAAAAGCAGTAAGGACAGGAAACAACAAGACAGGAAACTCATATGTTGTTTATAGACTTAACGAAGGCATATGATAATATCCCAACATCAAAACTATGGGATTAAAAGAGATAAATATTAATAACACACTTATTAAAGCATGAAACTGGAAGAAAGAGAAAAGATTGAGAGATGTGAGCTTTACAATTATCTGTAATACAAATTCATCAAGATGGAAGAGATGCATTAGAAATTAATACCTGTACATTAATACAAGAATAGCCCAAGGTAAGAGAAAAGTTAAAAAATTAAATGGAATATGATGGAGTGAAGAAATAACTAGATTTAAAAAAAAGAATATATAATGCTATTGTTAAAAACATTCTATTATACGGAGCGGAGGCATGGAGAATGGCTGGAGAAGACAAAAGTAACAACAGTTGAAATGAATGTATTGAGAAGATCGTGCAGAATCTCGAAAAGAGAAAGAATAACTAATGAGAGGATCAAAGATCTAGTGAGATTAAAGGAGACGGTTTTGGAAGAAATACAGAGGAAACAACTTATTTGATTTGGACATGTAAAAAGAATGAGTAATGAGAGACTCCCGAAAATTTCAAAATACATTCCACAAAAAAAAGGGAAATAGAGGAAGACCTACGCGAACTTGGTACGACGAATTAAAGTTAGCAGGTAGTGAAAACGGGATTAAAGAGGAATGGTGTATGGATAGAAAGAGATGGAAAGGATTCCTGGAGATCGGAAGGCGACGTCATACACCATAAACCGAAAATAGATAGATGGTGTTATGACATGTTCATTGCAAGTTGACAGTAGTATGTGTAGTTTTGCTCATAGTTTGCAACTTTCGATGATAAGGATGTTGCGAAGAAATTATTAAGAATTGGTAAGTGCAATTTGGTTGTCTGGCATTTCAAATGTTTATGCAGTTGCAACAAGTGCAACAAATTCGCTTATCAGGAAGGTCACAACTTTCCTAAATATAAATTGATTTAATCATAGAAACTCATTAGAATTTAACACTTCAAATTATTGAAGGATTTCAGAAGCAAAGAGAAGCGATTATAAATGATATCTACGGCAAAAATATCACTAAAAATTCTGAAGAGAACACTACTATATCAATTTCAATTTGTTACTCAATAACTTTTTAGAATTGGAAGAAAACTGAAAAAACAAGTAACTTTTCAAAATATATTTTGAATTAATATAAAAACCCTATTTAAGATAAAAATAGAATGTAGATTGCTGTATCTCTTTTGCCTGTTTAACTGCTTTATACCGGTGATGCAAATAACTAACAATACGAATTCGTATTATTGAAACTGGAAAGCTGGCAGAAAAGCTTTAAATCGCTACTATATAATCAAAACAGAAAAGTTACATCGAACTGTTTCTAGAAAATGCGCTAGATACAGTGAATTTAAGAGTATATTCCGAGCTCCTTTTCTCTTCGCTTAGTTGTGTGTATCGTCGTCTGAGCACGGAATTTAGAACTTAGTTTTCTAATTACTTATTATTAAATATTTACCGTGCCAAATACTAAAAATTCTGGTATCTAATTTCTACAAACAGAAAACAAAAGAAAAGTGAATTAAACAAAAAAAATCAAATAATTATAACACAAAATCTATATGTAAAATTGAATTTAAAACTGCTTTTCTGTTATCGTTTAATTCAGAAATACAAGCAGTTTCAAATTATATTGTACTTTCAAATCATTCCTAATCCATTTATGTCTTAAGAGTTTCTCCATAAGAATTTGTTCGAAATCTCTTCATACATTACATTTATCCATAAGCAATCTATAGACAAATGTGATGAATGAATAAGGTAACTTACAATCAATAAGAAGATTTAAAGTACTTAAACTTTAAATCTCCTTATTCATTGTATCTATACCGGTATTTTTCAGCATTAAAATCGTGCACGCCTTTAATACTCGTACATTTAAATAGATTAGTTTATCGTCTTTTCAAAGAATATTCTTTAAGTTTATTGTTTTAATAACTATAAATCATCTAAAATTTTTAAGTATTTAATCTTGGTTTGCGAAATTCATGTTATAAGTAATATATTTGATATAATATATAGTGTGATGTTTTAAAACATGTGTTAATTCATGTTACGTGAAAGGATTTAGGTTTGATGAGATAAAGTAAGATTTGATAGTCAAAATAAGGCTTGATGGAAAAGACTAAAGCGATTTCCCAAAGGGATCTCTCTCTGGAGAACATTCTATGGAAAACTCGCTCCAATTTAAGTGTAAGACACGTACCAGGAAACTTCAGCCCTTCAGTTAAAATTAAATGTATTATGTAATATAACTGATAAATTAATGTTTAAGTACATAATAAAATAAAAAAGAAACTACGTGTGATATGACCTGTATTATGAAAACATAACATGGTAATGCGAAAATTTAAAATAAAATATCTGTCTGCATGCTTTTTATACACTTCTAAACTAGTGTTGCAACGAATAGTATATTCGGCCTCAGGCCGAATAACGAATATTCGGCCAGAAGCGTGGCCGAATAGCCAAATATTTGGCCAAACTATTCGGCTCGATTAACGCACGTACGAAAATTGGCGCGCAAACCGCATTATCGTAAGGACCCTGCTCTCTATTGGCCCTCTATCACTACGCTTCGCGTTAATTCTTGACAGTTGTAGCGGACAGAGAAGAGTGTCATGGAAGTATGTGATAAATGATGATATCAAATGTGGATAACGATGAAATGACCTACAGTATACGTGTAAATAACGGAAAAAGAAGAGAGGAGGACTGCGAAGCGAAAATGTGAAAATAAATATGAAATTGAGTCGATAACATAATCGAATAAGTCGAGGCAGCTTATTGGCTCGAAATTCGTGGCCGTCAATGCCAAACAATTGTTGTCATAGACTTCGGAAAACTAAGTGCTTGTAATGAAAGTCACTTAGCTTGCACGGGCGAAAGCCTGAGGCCATTCGAGCTACCGAGCTGTCTCGAATATGTGAAATCATAAGTGTGACTTATACTGTCGTCCTCTCTGTCTCTTTTCTCCGTTATCACCAGGCTACGAGTCACGTAATTATAAAATGGAAAAACTACGACGGAAAAGTGACGAATCGAAAGTATCGCGAGCGCGTATTATGATGTATGCAAAGGCATACATGGATTAGAGCGATAGAGGAAAGAGAAAGGGAAGAGCAAAGACGAGCGCTTAAAAAGAAGGATAGGCAGGGTCAGACCCTCGGATGTGCGACGATTCTCGAACGAATAGGTGTGTACTTGTGCTGATCTTTGTAATTATAAATTGTGAATACATGTGACTAATATTATTTTCTTTTTTGTTTTGTGCATGTTAAAATTTATAAATAAATATAAACAAACAACACTAACCCGATAACATTAAATCTAAATACCAAAATGATTAATTTACTGTGTTTTTGTTATTTCTTAATCCTGTTTTTAGGTATTCGGTATTCGGCCTATTTTTCGGCCTATCTGCAGTAAATTTTGATGCAGCTAATAATGAATATAATTTTTTTTAATTAAAATGTAAAATCATGTTATTTATTTAGAATATATTTTGATTTATTTTAAAGGAAATATTTTCGACGAAAATATTACTAAAACTAACACTACTATCAAAAAGGAATGTTTTTCTAGTGAATATTTCCATTTTATGATAACTTATTATTTAGTTTGGTGCAGATATATATATATTTATAAAGATTTTATCTAGTAACAAAACAGATTTATAGACATTCCCAACACAAACAGATCTTAACAGGTACCAAGTCAACAAGATATAGAATTCTATTGATCTCAATCCATTTCTCTTAATGGAAGACTCTTAGAATCGTTATTTGTAGAAACAACAATTACATAAAATAATAGGAAATTTTTCACATTTATTTAATATATTTTAAAAATATTTCGTGTTAAATTTCATTTATAAAAACTTTTCCTCTATTAATTAGACTACTAATTTGATGTTTAATATGATTTTAAATTAAATTTCGTCTGTAGATATTTATATAATATTCAATAATTTATAGAATATTTAATTTAAATTTTTTTTCTTCTTTATATAAAATTTTATAAATCATCATATAATTGTATTTAAACATATTTATCGAAGCAATTTTTAGATACAGAGTGTGCCAAATGTCTGAAACAACAGCAATTAAGTAGACTTTTGTTTATTCGTTAATTCTTCTACAGATAGAGCAAGATGACGAGTAACTGAATGAGAAGGAAGGAATTTAATAAATTAAATTATAAATGGAAAAAATAAATAAATTCTTGATATTATTTCATTAAAGTTACAATAGAAATTTCCTAATAGATAACGACGAAAGACGATCTCTAATGGATGGCGTTAAAAATGTAATGCTTTTCCTATGGGAAAATCATTTTCCAAAAATTCTCGAAAGGAAAGCATATAGAACCAAACAGTGTTTTGCGTCAGAATCCTGCAGACAGTCACGATAGTGGTATTTAACCAATCAGCCTTAAAACGATACGAAAAAATTAAGTAATTTAAATAGACTATTTTCAATCTGTACATTTTAACAACGATTTTAAGTTATTTTTATGATAGGAACTCTCAATCACCGTGAAGTTTCCGAAGAGTTTAACAAATTGCCTCCACGCCTTGTTTTTAATGCAACCAGTTAAGTCCTTTTAAAACTTCACGCTGACTGAACGTCTGACCTCCAAAATAAAGAAGTGTTTGAAATATACAAAATACTTTATATCTCAAAATATATAATTCGAAAAAGAATTTTAATACATTTTATATTATTATAAAATACGTAGGCAGTTTTTTCAACCTCCGATGGTCCATGAAACAAAGAAAAGTGTAAATAACAAACTGAATTTATTACCAAAAGTTAGGTACAAACATGATTACTTTTCGACATGATCACCGTGAAGATTGAGGCATTTGTCTATCTGTGGACGAGCTTTGCAATCCCCTCTTCATAGAAAGTTGCCAGTAACTCGAGATGTGACTGAACGTTGTTTTGAAGTTCGTCACTAGTCTCGAACCTCCGCTCTNGAGAAAATAGACTTTTTTTAAAAAATATTAATTGAAATATCGATCGATTTTGATAATCCAGAACAATTTTTTATCACATTTTATTTGCCTAGAAATCTCTTATACATTGGTTTGTACATTTATTCATATAAGAGGAGAAGAAGCGAGTGACTATGAATGAAGAATTCAATTTTATCATAAAACTCGAATACAACATTTTAAATTGCATTCTGAAAGAATTCGACTTTACTACGAAATACAATTTGAATCAATTTAACTGAAAGTTTTATATACCAGTATAAATAAGACTATATAAAATGAAACATGGCTGATACTTTTTTTAGGTACTTTTACTTGAAATAATGTAAAAAAAAACTGAAAATTTAGAATCTACAATATATTATTTATATATAAAGAATATAATTTTTCTATTTTATAGGCATTATTGAATATTTTTGATGAATAAAGAATTGACAAGAAAGAGTGGAGTAATGAAATGTGTAATTTCAATACAATGGCGATAAAGTTTAACTGCAGTATATTATGCAAGCTCTATGTATGTAAAGCTAGTTGAAAAGAATAAAAGTGTCTGGAAATCTAAGATAATAAAAGTTATTAACTCAGATTTCCCTGTTAAGGCTGATTTAGGTATGCACTCGATCTTCATCAGATGACGTTAAAAATGTAATGCTTTTTCTATAGGGCTCTACAGGGCAATCCTTTTCCAAACATTATTGAAAACGAAGGCTGAATGAACCAATATTATCAAATACGAACATTACCATTTTTACTTTCATGTTGAATAATAGTGTGAATAAATCTTAACCCCATTCGGTCAGGTCCACAAGGAGTGACCGAGTAGAAAAGAATAGGATAGTGAGAGACCGGGCAGACATATTTGGAACTTAACACCCATGAAAAATTCCTGTATATTCTGCGTAACATGATTTTGTCCAAATGGAATTAATTCGAGTGGAGAAGTTAGAACATGTTTTTATGCGTGGAAGAATTCTTGAATCAATTTATTATTTCTTCTTGGTTTAACATTCAATTTTCCATGTAAATGTTAATCAGTTTGTACGTGATTAAACTTATTAAGATATAAACTAATTTTTTTGCATCGCTGAACATTTGTAAACAAACTACTTGATAAAGTTATAAAAATAATAATTAATTAATATTTTTGTATGATTCTAATTATACTAAACTATTCAGCCGAAAAAAAGTATTGTAGTATTATAATATTTTATAGTAAGGATAGTTTAATTTATAAAATTAATTTTGTATACTGTAAATCATAAGTGCGTACATAAGAAAGTGAATCCTTTGTCTATATAGTCGACCCCCTATAACACTGTTGATTATTACGTTTTATATGAATTCCATGTTGTACGAGTCAGTTAGATTTTACAAATACGTGAGCCGTTCACAGCCCGGCACACGTATTTGTAAAATCTAAGTGACTCGTACAACATGGAATTCATGTAAAACGGAATTATCAACAGTGTTATGGGGGGGGGCGACTGTATATTGCAAACTTTTGAATTTCCCTGTATTGTAGAACTTTTATTGGGTTGCAATTACTCTTTTACTTATACGACAGGTAGAAATTCTCATTAATAATATACAAAATGTCTTATTTAATTATTATATGTCTTCTTTGAAATATCTGTACAGTATAATACAGCTGAAAAAAATTTATATTTTA